CTAATTGAGAATTCAAACAGGCTGTTTGATTTATAATCGCATTAAAAATACATATAATAAAAAGCCAGGCAATATTTGACACGTATACATCAATGTACTGTTATTTATTTCAGTTAGCTACAACATGGGAAATAACACCTCGTTATAGAAGTCAAGTCTTTGTTAAATGAGTTTATACTTTCTCTTTCAGTTTTGATTAGAGTTATAGACAATAGACAATCAGTCTTGTTTTTACTTTTAATGAGCCATTAACAGTTCTTAAGTGATCGATCTTCTCTCTCTCTCTCTCTCTCTCTCTCCCACTCTCTCTCTCTCTCTCTCTCTTTCTCTCTCTCTTTCACTCTGTCACGCATACACGCAAATCTAAATTGTTGTTGTTGTTAGTGTGTTTGATTTTGCTCAGTATTACACATTATTGCAGAGAAACCTCCGAGCCAACGGTGCAGTCCGGTATTAAAGAAATTCACATTTGGTTGCCCTAATTTGCATCGACGGGGGTGGGGTGGGGGCGCGGGACGTTCCTTTTTTTCCAATCTCTCCCGAGTGCCATTTTGGTTATAAAAAAACAACAATGATATGGGAAGAATCGATACTGTCCAATCACACACCTCAATAGGTCCTACTGAACAAAGCAACATCGACACTCGAAAAGTGCTTTAATTTATACTCTCTCTCTCGCTCTCTCTCTCTCTCTCTCTCTCTCTCTCGCTCTCTCTCGCTCTCTCTCTCTTTCTCTACCCCCTCTCTCTCTCTCTCTCTCTCTCTCTCTCTTTCGCGCTCTCTCTCTCTATCTTTCTCTCCACCCCCTCTCACTCTCTCTTTCTCTCTCTCTCTCTGTCTGTCACGCATAAACGCATATCTAAATTGTTTTTCTTGTTAGTGTGTTTGTTTTTGTACGTTTGTTTTGGCTCATTATAACACAGAATTGCAGAAAAAAGTCCGAGCCAATGGTGAAGTCCAGTATTTTATTCAAAAAACTCACATTTGGTGGTCCTATTTTGCATCGACGGGTGGGATGGGGGTACGGCGCTGGACGTTCCCTTTTCTCCAATCTCTCTCCAGTGCCATGTTGTAGAATACAACGATCTATATGGGCAACAATAGGCCCTAGTGAACAAAGGAACACCAAATTGTATAATCTGTACATATTTTTTTTCCTCTTTCGTCCTGAATACGAATTATGGTTGAATAGATTCAATGAAAGAAACTGTCAAGGTTATTACAAACGCAGGTCGCAAAATAACTCATAACAATTAACATTTCGAGTAGTCTAGTCGCGCTTGCAGTTCAAAACCTATGGCACCCTAAATGCTGAGATCATAATCATACTCCGATAAATGATCAATCGCCATGGCCGGTCCGTCTTTTTTTGGCGATCTTAAGGAGATATACTCTATTGGCAAGTTGGTTTCAAGAATGAAGCGTGATGCAGACGATGGTGTCAGTGTATATCACAGATTCGTTCAAAATGTGGAAAAATTTCCAGAGAGGGTGGGGATAGTTTTCGAAGAGGAGTCTTACACTTACGCAGATATCTTCCACGCGTCCAGCCAGGTAACCCAGTGGATACTTCAACAGGGTGATCATTGGTCTCGGAACACTTATCATGAGACTGGGGAATCGGCCTCGGAAACGGCATCGAATGGATCAGCCGTCGTCGATCACAACGATGATGAGGACGATGTCGGAAGATGCGGGACAACCGTAACCGTTTTGATGCCGAACGAACCAGCGTTCGTGTGGCTCTGGTTTGCTTTGGTTCGACTTGGAATCACGTCGAGTCTTCTAAATCACAATCTGAAGCACGAAGCGTTGATGCACTGCATCAAAGTCAGCCACGCCAAAGCTCTTATCTTGTCATCTGGTAAGTTTCGTTTCTTTACAATCTGCAAGGGGGGCGGGAACCCATCTTCCATATTTAGCTGGATGTGATATGAGCAGAAAAATAGGTTGAGCAAAGTCCGATTAAATAACACAACCTGAAGGTTGTCCACTCCCGATAATTACAAACCAATTTCGGTATTATCCGTTGTAAACAATATTCTAGAGAAAGCTGTGCATTTTCAACCATGTGGTTTTCTAAACAAAGATGAAATATTGTATCCTAATCAGTCAGGCTTTCGTCCTCTTCACTCTAGTGCAACAGCTCTAATGAAATTGTAAACCAGTGGGCTTTGAATTTAGATAACAATAAGTTAATAGGTGTCGCTTTCATTGATTTGAGGAAAGCATTTTGACACTGTCGATCACGATATTCTGTTACATAAATTCACAGCCATTGGATGTTCTGATACTTGTATTCAGTGGTTTGTATCATATCTGTCCAACAGAGAACAGAGTTCCTCAAAAGTGGACATATCACCAGTCTTATAAATTGGAATCACCCTTGCTTTTTCAAGCCTTTTGGTACATGTCCTGTTGTAATTGACTTATTGATAATACATTGTTAAGGAGTCCACAATGATATGCTTTGACATTTTTAAAAGACGGCAACTTATTTCATCATCTCCGGTTGCTTTGTTCTCACTCATGTTTTTTCCCTTGATTATAATGATGACTAAAGAATATGAGACACATTTAAGTCATATAATTAATATATTTCATCGCATTTTCCCCTTTTTTGTTTTTTTATTTGTTTTGCTTTCTGACCGAGAACAACAACACGTCAAAAAATAAGAACTGTAACCCTGATTGAAACAAACTTTTAAGATTACCATGATTTTGTTTAAATATGATAAGCAAAACTTTACTTTACACACTAAGAAAAACTGGTGCAAGTATGCACCTTTAGGGGTGCAAACCGATGCAACAATAGCAGCACCTTTAGGGGTTAAATCCTGCACCCTTTTAAAGGTGCAATCCTGCACCCTTTAAAAGGGTGCCAGATTGAACCTTTTAGGGGAAATAGTACCCTTTATGGTTCATTCCTGCACCTCTAGGGGTGCAAACCGATGCAACACTAGCAGCACCTTTATGGGTTCAATCCTGCACCCTTTAAGAGGGCGCAAGATTGCATTTTTTAGGAGACATGTTCAATCCTGCTCCATAAGGGGTGCAAACCGATGCAACACTAGCAGCACCTTTAGGGGTTCAATCCTGCACCCTTTAAAAGGTACAATATTGCACCCATCATCGAAGAATACTGGTAAAATTTGCTCGTACACAAATACATAATAAACATGCATGATGTTTCTTGGTTAGTAATCATAATTATCTATTGCTAAACGTGAATGTAATTGTAACATGATCAGACAAAATAATCTATTGGTTAATGATTGCCAAAGGAAAATACAAATCACAAAATTGATGTGCATTGTCATAATTTGCTTAACAAAACATGATAAAAGTATTTTTATGCGAACACGTGGAAAGTAATCATGAATATGCATGCATATGCAAATTTTTATTTTGCACCCTTTTTTTTTTGGGGGGGGGTGCAAACTCTTATTTTGCACCCTTTTTTTGCACCCTTTTTTCTAAGAGTGTAGAGGGAGATAGACCGACGGTCACCGACACTTATTATGAAACAAATCAGTCATGTCCAAACTGGGGGGGGGGTAATGGGTAGAGTATATAAAAGAGGTGTCTTCATTATCAAAGCATACTGGCTGTACATTATACTTTCGAAGAAATAACAATGGTATTAAATTCGGAAATCTGAAAAATCATCATCTTCCTGAATTAACTTCTAAATAATGATAACAAATCACTAACAACCGGAATTGAAGTGCATTTACCTCTTTTAGTTCTAGTCATAATAAAAGCTGCGTCGACTACAAATATTTATTGTACAATCGCACTATAATACTGATGTTCTGACGTCACTACGATTCACTGAGGAAGCAGGAAATTCCTTGAAATTTACATTCTCTTAATCATATGACTAATCCGCTCCTCAGTCATTACAAATTTACTTGTTTGAATGTTTGTAACAAAATTAATGCTACTCCAATTTTTTTTCAAAATCGGATCGTATAGTAATAGAATCGGCGTTGTGTGCGGTGGGGTTTAGTCTGCTACAGTTTCAGAAGGGGCATATCTGGCATTATCAAAAATATGCGGGGGTAAACGCCAACGAGTTATTTTTATACAGTCCCTGAAGAAAATAGGTATATTCAAAGGTGCGTCACTATAGGCATATGTCTTAAAACATTATTAAAGCAGCGTTTTTCAAACGGGATGCCGCGAGAAAAAAAAAGTTCTGCTTAAAAAAAAAATAGAATTTGAGAAACCACTATATGTATTTTAATGTATTAAGGAAAATACATGTTAAAAGTTATAATTATTACCAAGTAGCCTAGGCCTAATTTTCAAAAATAAATGCATCAGATATTAATCCGCTAAGAGTTTGGTGGCTCGATCGTGTCACTAAAGTTTGCAGAGCACTGAGAGCAGACCGTATGGTCTGCTTATGTCTCTAAAGAGAGGAGCGGACCCTACTCAAATAAGAAGCTAACGAACGAAAGAGACAGAAATTTTCCGTCTAATGCCTACTAAAATGCGAATTAAGGACCTTTTCCATTTTGTGTTTGTTTTGTTATTGCTTTTTTGTTAGTTTCGTTGATCTTAAAGATGTTTCTGTTCGTTTGCTTGCCTATTGCTTGCTTTCTTTTCCGTCTCTTTTCAGGCCATGATAGGCCTATGAAACCTAGAAATATCGTCATCTCCCCTATAGCTCCTCCCGCCGCCCCCCCCCCCCCCCCCCCCCCCCCCCCCACCCGCCCTTAAAACATGTCGGTAAGTCGTTGGCATCGTCATTAAAAGAAAATCATAAACGTTCACGACTGATCCGAGACTGATCCCCCCCCCCGGCCCCCCCCCCCCCCCCCCAATTTTCATTATTTTTTTAATAATGTGCTATAAAGGAAAAATGTCGAAAACAAACAACGATGCGTGTGCTGGTACAAACATTCATTGAACGTTCTCCGTAAGTACGCTCGCGCACGTACGCACACGTGTGTGATAATACTTATGTAGCTTATCGTAGCGCGCGATTTGATTGTTTACATGCGTTTGTACGATATATAACTAGCCCCGCCTCTTTGCTCTAGTTTCATAACAATAATTTTTAAGTCGCGTTGTCTACTACTATTGCGGATATTTCTGAATCTACAAAGGGACAGCACTTCACAATTATTGATCACACTTTTTATCTTACAAGGTCAAACCCCGAATTAGATAGAAAGAGCCACGGATATCTATAGCAGGCAAACAGAGGCCATCTGGCAGAGCATCGCACTCCGGCCCCCATCGCACGAGGCATGCAGACACGAGCTTCACTGCACAGCCAGCCAGCCTAGCCTAGCCGCGTAGGCCGTAGCCGTGGTGTGATTTGAAGACGTTCCCATTCTGCATCTCTGCTACTAGCTGTGAGCTGTGTGGAGCTGGAGTGCAATGTCTTATAACATTTGTTTGTAACTTGCTGCATATTTTGTATACAGGGAGCTACCAGTAGTAGTTGCAGTTTACTTGTAGAGGCAGGCATCTATGATCAGTGCACAAAAATGGGAGACTGGGAAGTGTTTGGATTTTCAGCCCTCGTTGTGAGTCTCATCGTGGCTGGAGTGAAGAGGAACTCGATTGTGAATTTCATCCAGGATTTCAAAGATGTATCAAGTTTAGCGAAAGCTCTTGTGGGCATTAAAGTAGCAGGGAGAAAGAACAGGACGATTCTTCATTCTCTTTTAGAAGGAGCGTCACGTTATCCAGATCGGCCTTTCTTGCTGTATCAAGATGAGAAATACACGTATGCAGACGCTGAGGCTGAGTCGAACCGCATTGCCCGATGGGTGAAGACCAACTCTGACCTCGTCCAGGAGGAAACTGTGGCTGTTCTTATGCGGAATGAACCGGCTTTCATCTGGGTTTGGCTGGGGTTTGCCAAGCTAGGTGTTGGAACCAGTCTTCTCAATCATAACCTGAAAGCAGAAAGCTTGATGCATTGCATACGAGTCAGCAATGCAAGGTTCTTGATTATGTCAAGAGGTAATGACTGAGGGGGGTTTTGGAGACAATTAAAGTCATCTGCATTATTGCATGTCATCAAAAACTACAATTGAAACTAAAAAAAAAAAAAAAAAAAGAAAGAACCAAAAAGGAGAGAAAGAGAAATGAGAGAGCGAGAAAATGAATGTGGTGTTTACAGTAACTATGGTATAAGATACTTGCAAAGATAGACTGCATACAAAGTGCACAGTCTTTTGATTTGATGATGAAGAAAAAGAAACAGAGAAAGAAGAAGAAAAAGAAACAGAGAAAGAAGAAGAAGAAACAGAGAAAGAAGAAGAAGAAAAAGAGAAAGAAGGACCACTGGCCTGGCCTGGGTCCATTGTCAAACAAATAGTTCTATTGAAAAAATATTTTCAATGAAAATATTGTACAATGTGCAATGTACACTTGCAAATTATTCAATTAAGTTTTTTGTCAGATCTTCGGGGTCATGGGAGGATGCAACATCCCCTTGAGCCTATAAAACAGCCATTCCTCTCATAGCAGTCGATTTACAGTATCTATAATATTTTCTCTATTTTCTTCCTGTAGCTTTCATCGACATCGCCAAGGAACTCCTTCCTGAGCTCCAGCAACTTGGAATCAAGGTTTGGGTCCTCGGTAGCGCCTTCAACGGCACAGTAATCCCAGATGGCATGGTTGCTATGGAAACCAGTCAGATGACTGGAAATCCGCTTCCACCCGATCAGTTAGCTCCCATCACCCACAGTACCATAGCATCACTGATCTTTACCTCTGGGACTACAGGTGAGACTCGTCAGTCTTTGTTTTGATCATCCCCATCTCCTGCCATCCTCCCACTCCTCAAAGGCAAAACACACACTTTCTTTCTCTTTTCAGTTAAAAACATGCCACTTTGTCACTACGAATGAAAGAATGAATGAACAAATTTATTCATCCATCCATTCATTCATCCATTCATTCATCCATCCATCCATCCATCCATCCATCCATCCTTCCATTCTTCCATAAATTCATTTATTCCTTCTTTCATTTATTTATTCATTTATTTATTTATTTATATTTATTTATTATATTTGTTTCAATGCATTTTGCAATTGTTTTCTAGCCCAATAAGCGAGGTGGTGGTGGTGGTGGGGGGGGGGGGGAGAAAACACACAGCCTTTTTTTGTTTACTCTCCCTTTGAGTTTCTGCTCGACCCAGTGGTACAGAGGACTGCCTGCCACATTTGGAATTTGTAGAGGGTTTTGAAACATTGTGATTAAAGATTAAAGGTTTTTTTTTTTAATTAAAAAGAAAAGAAAAAGAGTACGTGGATCCATGTTAGTGTTTGCAATTGACAGCACATTTTGTTTACTATAGCATCATGGCTCATGTATGCCCTGAAAGACACATTTTGCCACTTACGGTACCACTTCAAAAACTGGAAGCTTGGAATCGTGTTTCCGATGAGGAATAATAGTTTTATTCATCAAAATACAGAGCAATTGACCAACGTATTATCCTTGGGTTTATTTTATTTCCTTCAACAACATTGACTGCTTACGAAAGCATTGTTTCAGCGACCCAAGGTCGAGGACATTTGTCCGGAATCGTGATATCATCTTGAGTAATAGAGGAAGTTGGCATCCTTCCATTTCTGTATTTGGTGATATCAAGTACCCAACCCTTGTAATTACTGTCAACAAACCTCCAAAGTGGCCTAGAACTTGCCGTAAACATTTTATCCTCGAAAGTGCAGAGGTACATTTATTTGATGATTACCTAGGCTAATTTACATTGCAAAATAGGAACAATTTGAAGAAAAAACATTGTTTGTTTTAAATTAATAATTCACTAGTGTTTTAAAGGGATCGTTTAACATTGTTAAATCTGAGATACACGGCTCTACGTGTTATCAGTGTCTGTGATATGGTGTAATATTGAAGCCCTAAACAAATTGCGCTTCAAAATGATCAAGAAGTGCCTCAAAAAAGTAAAAATCTTTGAGTGACCGGTTTTACCATGCTCGTTTTTCCCAATAGACTGTAGTGTTATGAAAACCGTCAGGCGAACGGTTTTCAAAATTTGTAATTCCAATCATAAATATCTTGATAATCAGACAGGCGATCGGCTTGTAAAATTCATGGGGTTCCTGACTGACCTAAAGGTTTATAATTATCATTGCATCATGAGCTAAATCCAGAATTTTATTTCAGAATCTGAGACAAAGTTACCGGATCCCTTTAAGAGGGAGCATAATTTACACTGCAAAAATCATCAGTAGAGTTTCTGCTTGCATTTAAAAATACCACACTCCTGAGGTGGGTGTTTTATGTTTATGGGTAGTCGCCTAGCAACCTTTGAACGAAACTCTGGAATGTGAGAAAAATGTAAATGTTACTTAAGTCTAATATAAGTAATAAGTATTGTAAAGTAACTAAAATTTATAGGTTTACCCAGAATCACAAAATGATTTGAAAAACAGTACATACTGTACATGTAAGAGATAGATCATAGGACTCAGAAGACTGCAAACGTGTGACTGATTGGAGGACATTGATTGACACTCTTTATTAGACAGGGCCCAGATTAACTTTTTACGACTGAAGCTGAGTTTCAAAGAGTGGTACTCATCTCCCTTTTCAGCCTACACTGAATAAAATAACACACTACAGTTATTGTGTGCCCAATTTAAAGTTTACATTCTAGTTTAAAAGAACAAATACAGTACCATGTTCAATGTAAACCTAGAGACATACCATTATAATCATAAAGAATAATACAGAAGACGTCTGCACACTGCTTCCAACCAGCACGAATTTTACATTAAAAAACTGCTCTAAACGTAATTATTTGTGAAGAAAAATACTACTTACATTTGTATTTCCATCTTGAATCGTGTTTTATTTTCAATTTTAAAAGAATCATGTTTTCAATTTGTCAATAAATGATATTTTTTTAAAGATTTTCCAAGACGGTTGTTGTCTAATGTTAGAGTCATGAAAGCTGCCATCTTAAATAGAGTTTCAGGCTTGTCAATAACTGTTTTTTATAATTTTTTATTTTCATTAGGAAAAATATATTTGTTTTGATCACGCACATGTATTCTTGTTTATGGCTTGCGATCGGGATGTAGCGTGGTCAGGATTTGGGATTTAAAATGGCGCCAGTGAAGTCGCGCCCACGACTGGATAGAAATAAATCACAAAGGCGGAAAATGGGAAAAAAAGTAATTATAAAATGAGCAATCATGACATGAAAATTAGGTACAAAATGGCAAGTTAATTAGCTTGCAAAAACGTCGAACATCCGAACCAGGCATTTGCGTTCGGTTCGGTTCGGAAGTGCTATGTTCGGTGAACTTCCGTTCGGTTCGGCGGTTCGGCTACAGCACTACAACATACAATGACAAACAATTACAAAGCAAATTACAAATTAACCTACAAATTACAATACATGATTATGAAATGTCCATAAACATGAACCGGTACGTGTACTGTACATATGTGCTGTTGATAGGGATTAGCAAAGTCCATTTTTGAGCCAAAAAAATTAATAGAACTTGGCAAACTTCTGCATTTTATGAGCATTCTCACCCAAAAGTAGTATGTTACATCATGTGAGAGTTTAGTGCTGTGAGCGCAAGAGCAGTGTCCAAGCGGGCAGGACTTTGCTCCATGCGTGAACCAGATGTGAACTTCTCATGTAGTTTACAATCTACAAATATATCACTATTTACTCAGTCCTAGAGATAACAGCGAGATAGCGGTCCCACTTTATTTACAAGTTCATTCAGAAGTTTTTATGCATTATGTTTAAGTAATTCACTCTACCTTTGTGTACCACACCGTTAGAAATGATGTGAATTGTTGGCAAGGGAGTTTAATAGCGGGCAGGACGGGGTACAAAATTTAACACTTTAAGAATTATGAGAAAGGGCAAAGAACTTTTTGAAAGAGTTGTTGCCCAAGGTTGATTAATAGTTGTACGTATAGTATTGGCATATTCAATATCATTTCGCCCATGTCGTCAACAATTATCAGTCAAAGTTTGATGACCTTTCCAATGTACTGATTGAAATGTTGTCATATGATTAAAGTCACATGATTAAAGTCACATGATACTATCCTAGCCTTGACATGCAATAGTAGTGCAGATTAGTGCCTTGTTAATAGCATGTATCGTTCATGAACAGATGTGACATGCTGGTACATTCATGTTCATGAAAAGAGTAGAGGCCTAGAGGGAAAATCAGGGAATTTGAAGAATAGAGATGCTATTGTTTACAGATGACTAATGTGCTGCTACATTAAAGTAATGGTAACTCTACAAAAGTGCATGGCGCAGCACATTTACATTTACTGACATTGTATGTCATAATCCTGCGATATGACAAAGTTTGAACAAACAATGTCTATTTCAGGATTTGTTTACTGTTAATAGATATGATATGAAGTACATTTATCAATATGTCTCTATAGCATTCATTTTTTTGGTAAATTTAGTGAGTGTGTGTGAGCTTTGTGAATTCCTGTTATAATGCGCCTAATACTACGTTTCTAGGCGCGGAACATATTATTACCCCGGTCATCGGATTCAGGCTTACCCGCACACAAGGTGTGCACATTCTCCACTCCCTGGGGAGCATTCCAGCCAGTCGCCATTATGGGGGGGGGGGGGGGGGGGGGGGGAGATTGCTCATATGACAGAATATACAGTATTTACTTTTCAGAAATCTACATTTATATGTTTTTCTTTTTTGCAATTGGATAAATTATTTACATGTAGCAGTAGGTAATGGGTTGGTTAATCATTATATTGACAGACAAATTAAAGCAAAACAACAATAATTGAGATGAAACCGAACAGACACACAAACAAAAAGCATGAACACACACTTCTCCAGAACGTACCGGTACATGTACACCAAAATAGCGCTTTGAGACTAATATAATAGTGCTTAGAGACTTTGGTGGTAAGCGCTTAATATGATTATCATTATTAAAAGGAATATCTAATACAGTGTAAGCTTCATTTTTTTGTTCTCGTTCTATTATTTCTTTCAGGTCTTCCAAAAGCAGTGAAAGTGCCCCACAAGACCCCCATCAAGGCATACCATGCCTGGACACTAAGCGGGGGTCTCAAGCCTACAGATGTCTTGTATGTATCCCTACCTCTCTACCATTCCTCAGGCCTTCTGAACGGTGTCCTTAGCTGTCTCAGTTCAGGTAATTATTTTAATTGATATAGAATTCAGTTCTACTCTATTTTACTTTGCATTAAAACAATTTAAATGATTTTTAAACAAAACATCAATTTGAAACAATAACACACTCACAATAAATGTACATCAAGAGGTATTACAGTTAAAAAGACATACATTTGTAAACTAATATATACATGATATTGCAAAAGAGGGTAGCAGCCAGAAAGGAGAACCCCTTTCAAGTGGCTGACCCAATAGAATATTTAAATGTAGAGAAAATAATATCGTAATTGTTAAGAAAAGTGTGCATTACACATACTGTACATGTAAACCTGCATGTACACATGTATGGTGGTAGATTATGAAATGAAACCAGTAAATTTGATAAATAACAGAACACTAAAAACAAAGACGATGACAAATTGTCCGAATGTTTAAAATATTACCAGTAGGTTGAATACATGTACATGGATGTACAAAACAAACATGTGTGCAGGGAGATGTGTGCATACATGTACTTATTGGCATATTTTTCATATTTTGCATTGTATGTAAAAAGTGAAAAATGAAACATTTTTATTAATAGCAATGTCTTCTATAGCATCATTATCCGCCAGCTTACATGTACGTACATGTAGGCCTACTGTAGGCTCCCGTGTTTGTTATTTATTTACAGTATTTATTTATGTTGTAAGTAGTATTGTAGTACATTGTAGTACATACAGTACCGTACAGTATGTTCTTTTGGGGGATATTTGGGTATATTTCTTTCTGTTTTGCTTTAGTTTTCATTCTACTTTCTCTTTCCTTCGACTCTTTTCATCTATCTGTTATTTTCACAACTCTCTCTCTCTCTCTCTCTCTCTGTTAGCATGTGGTATAGTTTCATATTCTGTTTGTTGTTGTTCGTAGCACTGTTGGCAGCCTGCCAAGTTCTTGAGCTTCTAAAATTACCTCAGGCTCAGAAAATCCTGATTTCAACTTAGTTCCTCGTTCCTCATAGAAATGTAAGATGTAGGTCAGGTTAATAGACCTGTTGCCATGGTGATGCCCTGTTCATCCCAAAGAAATTGTGGTTGAGGTCTCCTGAGATTTTGGACATATTTGTGCTAGAGCGGCAAATTATACTACAATGTACTGAAACTTAACTGGTGCTTTGAAACATTCCCTCTAGAATGTGTATTACTTTTGTGTTCTCTGCTCTATTTTAAATAGTAGATTGATAATTTAGCAAAACACAGAGACTTTAGGCTTTTTATCCCCCTCCCCCACCTACACAAATAGAGAACTAGAGATGATGATGATCATTATTAAATGTTAATAATAATGGTATATGATGATGGTGATGATGATGATAATGATAACGATAATAAAAATAATGATAATAATGAAGAAATAATATTTACAAATGTATATTAGTGATTCAATAATGATGAAAATAATAATACATGTAACACAAATTATAATAATAATACAATTGATAATAATAATAATAATGATAATAATAACAATGATAATAGTGATGAATGACAATGATGAAAATGGTAATGATGATAATAATGATGATAATGATAACAATAAGGATAATAGTAATAATAATAATGATGAAATAATACCAACAATAACCTGTATACATGTAACCACAACCATAGTGATATTGTGGAAAGTACTGGATGTGTGTTATAACTTGTCTCAATCAGGGAAGCCTTCTTATTATTGAAAATCCTTCTTGTTAAGCTGCACCAAAAGGTGATTCACCAGATGTGCTCTTTTGTTTTGAATCCCACAAGGACCTTTCCTCTGAATGAAATGTATTGATTTCTGCTTGCTTGACAGAACTTTACACAATATAAAGTGGGTTAATACAAACAATCAATTGTTTATTCCAATACAGTGTATAAGCAAATTATATTAGAAGCTGAAAAACGGCGGTCAAAGGTACTGGTTAACATTGTGATGGTTGATTTAAAAAAAAACTATGTGTGTAAAAGACTATAAATGTACTGTATGAATATATTCTGATGGAATTGGGGATCTTTTCTCATTTCTGTGATCTTGTCACTATTGCACTAAATGTTTATATCTACTCTAAAGCCAGTTTAGGGAAAAGCCCTTGGCACAAAAAGCTGGTTAATGCAATTTGGGTTCTTAGTATCTCAAGGAGGCCTAATGTTAGCTAAAATTTCATTCAAATGAGATATATATGTCAAAAAAGAAACAATAATTAACTAACATCTCTATTTATTGCATTATGCTTTCCGGAGTATCCGGACATATATTTCTATGCCACTACATTTTGCAAAGCAATCTTTAGTTAACTTACATGTTGTCTTTGTCCTTTTAGAGCTTTGGGTAGGTAACACTACCAAAATTGAATATATTAATCCTATATGTACGCTTTAGCTTGTCTCCATTGTATGAATGTATGCTATTTCTCTTTTTATAACACATATTCATTATTTTCTTATCATCAATCCTTTAGGTTGCACAGTAGCTTTGGCACCCAAATTTTCAGCGTCGCGCTTCTGGGATGACATGCGCAAGCACAAAGCCACGGCCTTTCTCTACATAGGTGAATTGTGCAGATATCTCCTGGCGCAACCTGAAGTAAGTTTCTGCTGCACAAGACAGCACATAGAGAACATGGGACTTTGTACTTTCCTTAGCCCAGGATCAACTTTTTTTGGCTTTTCACACACGCTGTTTTAGTCCTGTACTAAGTGCCTATCCTGGGTTAAGAAAATTTACGTTAGCACCACAATTTCGGAGTTCGCCCTTCTTTTTTACTTTAGGTGGGGCTAGCCCACTTTGGTAAATTCGTGACTGGATAAAAAGTGGGCCAATCTTAGCACACGACTATAGGCGGGGCTAAGACCCCCCTTTAGCCCCACCTAAATGGTATAGTCTGGTGCTAAGCAAAATTTTACCAGTGTGAAAAAGCATTGTAATACTGATTCAAACTACATGTATGATTTCCCATGAAAGTATCTACACTGCAATGGTCATTATGAACAATATAGGGAACCAAGGGAATTAGAACATGTGTTTATCAAAGAGAACCATGAATAATGTTAATCCAACAATATCACATACATCCCCATACATCCCCCCCCCCCCTCCCCAAAAAAGAGATTAAGAAGAAGAAGAAAAAAAGTGCTGCAGTAGGATAGATACACTTTTCTTTTGAATGACTGGGAATTGGGGGGAAAGAAAATATATACTTGTAGCTTTACTCATTATTGGCTCATGAACATTTTTAAGATATAAGAGATGTCAAAGTGCACTTTTATCTTATTTTTTGTTTCAGTTATTATTATTTGGCTGTCAATGGTTATTGCTCCATTGTTACAGTCATATCTATGCTGCACATTAGACTTTTTATCATACCTTTAACTCCACTGATTTCTTCATTTCCCCCGGTTTTCTTTCCTGCAGAAGCCTGATGATGGCAAGTACCCCAGCCCTGTGAGACTAGCATATGGCAATGGCCTAGGGGCAGACATCTGGGAACGCTTCCAGAAGCGTTTCAACATTGAGAGGGTCGTGGAGTGGTACACTGCCACTGAGGCGTCTGGAGGTTTCATCAATACCGACGGGAAGGTCGGATCTGTTGGGAGGTACTCCTGGCTGGCAGAGGTAAGGAGGGCATGATGTGCCTAAAATGGTCTGGAGGGGCGGGGCAGAATCCACCCCTCCCTGAGCCACACTGCGATATGTTTGAGGATAATTCTATTGCCGCAAGATTTCTAGACTTTATGGACTAGGATCTATGTGCAACATTTGATATCAAATTTACACAATTTCAAACTATTGCACACACTCAAAAATTGTTGTGCTGCTCTTCCCTCACCCCCCCCCCCTCCTCTTCTGAAAAAGCACCGATATAACCCAGCATTTATAGAGTGGTGAAGTGTGACGTCATAACAAATCAATTTTTAGAATTTTTCAAGATTTTCTTCATTTTCCGAAAGAGCATCAAAAATAATGTAAATTGTTGAAAACTAATTGAATATGTTAAGTATTGGCTGAGATATGACCATCTGAATAAATAGATGCCCTATGGTAACTCAGTGTTATAGTGATCTGGTTCATAACCTTAGGTCACTTGCTATCAATCATATGAACCCCAAACAAACTATTGTAGCATTTTTGCACATACTATAGAATGCTTAAATATCAAAATAATGACTAAATTACTCAGATAATTTGGTAAGTTTTTATGTTTAAAGAAAAGAAAAAGAGTTCTTAATTTCTGCCATTGAGGTTCATACCATTTCTGTTTTACTTTTCATTATGAAGAGTTTTGTTTCACAAATAAAGTATGATTCATATACAGTGAGTTTAAATCAATTTTGTATACCGGTAAACGTTTTATGCACATTTTCCCATGGATGCAGCAAAGCACATACATGTACAAGCGTTGTAAGAAGGAGAAGAAAAAAAAAACATTCAAAGGGGGAGGCACAAATCTCTACCCTGGTGTTATTTGGATCATTGTTTTTCTTTTCAACTCACACTTGACTAGTTCAGAATAACTTCCATTCACTAGTAGGGTAGGGTAGGAAATTCAGGATAGCAAATATGTCAAGGGCTTTTCCTGTGGTGAATGATAACAAATAGATATGATCATGGTTGATAAAACATTTTGTTTTCAAACAAAGCCTCTTTGAGTATTTGTTTATTGAGCAGGCTCTTTGTAGAGAAATACTATCTGTGACAACTGTAATGATTGAATGTATTTTTCTTTTTCACATTTCTCTTGGTATTTATGCATGCATCATGAGTATGTATCAATTCTCATATGACATGTTGCAGAATTAGTGATATTAACTGTATAATTCATTCAAGTTATAATGAAATGAGTTGTGCAAATATTTTTGCCACATTTTCTGAGATTGAAGAGAATACATGTTTTCTTTCTTTCTTTCTCTCTTCCTTTCTTTTGTCTTTACTAGGATTTTTGTATACTTTCTTTTAATGCCGCATTTAGTAAACAAACTCAATTGAAATTTGAGGTTCATGACAACAGTTGCATTGGTCTATAAATCTGTCTGGTGAACAATTATGATGTTGTGATTTCATTATATGAAAACGAAAATTGAATTGACACCCGATCCGATAAAGATTGGTATCGGATAATTAAATCGTAATTTAGTTTCTGGAGTGAAACTTTTGGAAGGGTATCTCTTGCATGTACATACATGTATATGTCGAGTCTTGTAACTTTTTGTTACTATCTCATGATGAATAATAATAATAATATTAAATTCTTGTAACACGCATATCACATTATATAACGACCATACATGTATGCGCTTCCAAAGAGCTTTGGAAATGTTTACCCTCACTTTAGCTTTGGCAGTCATTATCAGTGCATAGTGCATGTCAAGAAATAATCCTACCAGGTACCCATTTACCTCACTTGGGTTGAGTGTGGCAATTGTAGATTAATGTCTTGCTAAAGGACATTATAGTGCCACGGCGGGACTCGAACCAGGGAAAAAATTAATATTTATTTTACGGGGGCTACTTTTCAAGCTTGTTCTGCATAAAAATAACACTCTAAAATTTGTTTTGCATTGAACTCTATGCAAATTTACAGGGGCTCTTTTCTGATTCTCAGGGGCTCTTTAGGGCATTTCAGGGGCAAATTCACCCTGAGCCCCCGTGTATTTTTTTCACTGACTCGAACCGCAGACCTTGTGATCCAAAGTCCGGTGATATATCCACTCAACCACGACACCTCCACAATAAACAATGAACAATGCATGTTTGGCCTTGTTGTTTTGATATAGTTTCAATATGTTTCTTTGTCATTTCCCGTTTGAATTCAGAAACTTGCAGGAAATTGTGTGGTAGTTGAATGTGACTTTGCCACGGCCCAGCCTGTCAGAGGGCCTGATGGGAAATGCAAACCAGTTCCTAGAGGTGAGTCAGACATTGTTTATTTGACACAAATTGTGCTCCTCATCATGTCTGTTTTATGGTTGAAGGATCATAGCTTTTGACTTTCATCAGAATAATTTTGATTATAAAAAAAATATATATATATTTTTTTTTATTTATCTATTTTGTTTATATATTTGTTTGTCTTTCATAAGAAGAGAGAGTATTTGACTCAAATTCAGCTCCAATTTATCTTTCTTTTGTTGGTAAAAGATAGAATTGTTCAATTTATTCACCATTTTCATGAAAACATGCAAAGTAAAAAAGGGTTAACTTTTTTCTTTTCTGAGAAGAATGTGGAATATTTCTTTGCTCACTATGACTTCCTCCGTCTCTCTGTTTTCTGGATGAGGGATCCACTTCTTTTTTTTTGGGGGGGGGGGGGTTAGAAAAATGTTTATTAGACTCAAATTGTGTCTGTCGTTCTATCTGTTTTGTGGGTGAGGGATGGTAGCTTTAAATTTGTCTTTCAACAGAAGAATCATCTTTCTATTCCCAGATGTTGACATTAAAAACATGAAACCTCCAACTGACAGCCATTACTCCTCATGATCTTGTTTTTGTGGAGATTTTTTGTATTTCCCTCTTTTAGGGATGGGCGTGGGTTGGAGGGGATATGTTTGTTGAAGGATACAACCACCTACCTCTTCTACAAAAGTGTTTATACAGATTCTTATGTAGTAGGCCCTATGTATAAAATCAGCTCAAAAAGCATTCACTCGGCAGTCTGCCATCTTGACAGTGAAGAAAATAAAGGATAACATGTAATTATCGCAACACAAGCTGGACTTTGGTTCCTTGTGCACCATTTTTGTAAATGCATTGTCCTGGAAAAGGACACAAATAGAACCTAAAGTCGGCCTTCACCCTTATGGTTCTGTGAGCAAGATTTTGTTGTTATCCTTTAATTTCTATTTACTCTGAAACTGATGATCCACATATAATGCCAGATAATATTTGTTGTTAGCTGAACACACATTATGTTTAATAGGCAATACTCCTCTATCAGCTATGTCTGTAAGGACACAGTGGTCAAGGATTTCTGCTGTTCTGATACTGGAACTTGATAGTATTAAAGTGAGCTTTAAGACATGCATCTACCCGGACATGTTACTTTAATGACCTTCACCCGGATGGCATTCAAGTAGGCTCAAATGTAATCTAAGAACCAGGCAAAGTAATGTTTGACTTATACATTATAAAAGGATTATAGCCATCCCTGAATTCCCTGAAATCAATGATACAGTTATCTACATGCTTTCTTCATGTACATATATTATACATAATGTTTATCTTATAGTGTTATTTAGCTCTTTATACATAAATTACAACAAATTTGTTGACTTCTAACCACTGAAATCTACATGTACATGTTCCATGTCAGGGCTAGCCATCACCACCCTTCTCCCCCCTCCCCCTCTTTACTTGTATATGATTACGTTTTATGTACGATTTTGAATTGGTTGAATAATATGAAATTGATTTGAAATTGAAAAGTAGTAAGTACATGTATTCCAGGCCCCCGTAACACAAAGCTTAGCAATTTATCGTAGCATTGATCACCATGTGTGCGATCAATTTCCAAAAATCAATTGTTCAATCATTTACTATTAAAGCTTTGTAACTGGCCCAGGCGGGTCAGTTCTTGATATATAGCATATAGCCTTAATTTATGTGAATATGTATAGAAAATATAAAGTGAAAATAAGCAATACAATTTTCAAATGTAACAATGACTAATTCCACCTACCGGTACACGTATCAGCCATCAGTTTATGTACATGTATGTACAAAACATTTACCTGATTACTCTAACATTATATGAATCTGAGTTGAAATAGATGATATACAATAATGTACTAAACATCACATAGTTATTATAATTCAAGCCACTCATCTTGTTCAGCTTCAAGGGGATTTGAACCTTTTAACAGTCATATTGCCATAGCAACAGTACTGTTGATAACCACACTTATAAAATAAGTCTGTACCCAGCAGGTTTCAAGGTTTTCTCCGCTTAAAAGGCAATCCAACCTTTGCATTGTTTCCATTATCATAAGCTGATTAATATGGAAGCAGAAAAATAAGAGAAACAGAATGGCACAAGTATGAAATAAATCGAGCTAAAATGAATGAGAACCTAAAGTTGGGCTGGGATTTTGTTCATTGAGCTTGTGACATTAGACACAGACAATTCTCCCATTTGAAAATGCCATATACAGGGCGTATCATAATAAAGGATATTGAAGTTTAATGACGATTTATATGAAAACTACTGATTTCATAATCAAGCATTTTATGTCTGTTGTAAAGGACAGAATGTCCTCTTGTTAATGACACCCGGTCATACTACTACTGTCACAGTTGACTGAATAACAAAGCATTGCTGTCCACCATGTGAAAGGTGCACTGTGACAAGTTAGCATTCACAGATAAATTCTAAAGATCAGTGCTTGTGTCAGCCCAGACATATTGAAATGCTGAACAATGACTGGATTATGTGTCTAAGAAGGAAATGTTATCAAACTTGGCACAGTGCACCTTTCACATGGTGGACAGCAATGCTTTGTTATTCAGTCAACTGTGACAGTAGTAGTATGATCGGGGTGTCATTAACAAGAGGACATTCTGTCCTTTACAACAGACATAAAATGCTTGATTATGAAATCAGTAGTTTTCATATAAATCGTCATTAAACTTCAATATCCTTTATTATGATACGCCCTGTATACTGTATGTGTACGCTTATAGCCAATGTTCTGCCTAACTAGCATACCGGTAACTAGAAAAGAAAGTGTGTGAAATTGATTGTTTTCTTATTTTTATAATTTTTTCTCTCCATTATTTAAAGACATGTACATGTTTGTGTATATCACTTCAGGTAGGCTAGCAGTAGATGTTGATGAATATTAATAAGATATACTTTGTTTAGGCCGATTTAATCACTTCCTTAATGTGCAAAAAACAAGTTTATAAATTGTTTTTTCTGTTTTCATTAAGTAAACATTTAGGATGGTCTTTAAAGAATCCATATAATTTTTTTGTAACAATATCCCCTAGGTGAGACAGGGCTGATGCTGTTCAAACTGGACAACTTCAACAAGTTTCTTGGCTATCGCGGTCCCTCGCAGCAGACCCAGAACAAACTGGTCCATGACGTTAAGAAGACCGGTGACCTGTTCTTCAATAGCGGTGACCTGATGATGGTTGATGTAGATGGCTATGTCTACTTCAAGGACAGGCTAGGTGATACATTCAGGTAAATATTCAGGGTTCTCTTTTAAAGCCCCACTGCACTACTTATAGCTACTTGCATCCTCTATATATAGCAAACAATGCCTAAGCGGTGACCATTGGTCCCCCATGGTCCCCTTTTTCTTATGGCAATTGAGAGCTGATTTGATGAGATAATCACCTGTCGGTGATCATGCAGGAACGTCTAATCACTTGAGGCCAAACTAGTGCAGACAGGCTTTAAACATGAGTCAGACTGGTCAGCCAAGTGGGTACAGATTGTTCAGAACACCCCAGTCAATAGATCAACAGCCATCGACTTCAACAGGACAAAGTCCAACAGCTAGCAAAACTGAAGCCAGTCTAATGAACCCTCAGAAAAAATTGTCAAGAGGCGAACCATACCAATATGTTTGCTTTTGGTTTCTTTGGATGCAGCCCAGACTTTCTGGGTTGGTCACTAGTTATTTACTGTCCAATCCAAGCTACACATATTCATTGGGGGGGGGGGGGTGGCAACTGCTATACCATACCTCACCATTCCAGCAATTCATGACACTCCTTGTAGTTACTCGCCTGACCTACCATCCCAGTATAGCTTCCTGAGTGAGCTGCCAAAGGGATTACCGGTACCCAACCAAGTACCAAGTACCAAGGAAACGATAGTGTTACAATGTACATCCTGATTATCATATTTTAATGAATGAAAATTGCTTGATTGGGAAAATACATGACAATTCTAAGCATATGACACTGAATTTATTATTCAACTTGACTTTCCAGTCCCATGAAAAAAATTTAGTTCAAAGAAAAGGGTGCTTATAATTTGTAATCTTTTTAAGCACTCTCACTCTAAGGTCATGGGAAAGGTGACAAAAGGAGGATTAAAACTCTATAGAAATTTCTGTGAAGGGATAATCAGATCATCCTAAAACTTGGCGCACTAATTCAGCAGATCCTGTTCTTTCTTTTTTTAAGGAAACAATCTAATAGCTTACTCTGTTTTAAAGTTATTGGAGATCAACATGAGCACCAATGCTTGTATATAAATAAAAACTATTACAAAAAACTCAAAATCAGAAAAGCATAGGTCTATGAAATACATTTATATTGCATTGTGCTTCCAAATGTTGAAATAACATTAACAAAAATTACATGTTGAAATGAAACTAAAATTTGACCATTCTGACCAAATACATCTTTGTTGAGCTCTAACCGAAAACCACACTATGATAATAATGATAAATACTTATAAAGCGCACTTATCTAATAACTTACTCAAGGCGCTATGCAACTTGTTGGGGGTTTTGTGGGGCAGGGTCACATTGGATTACATTCTAAAGTTCAATGATCATGATATTGAGAAATAATAGCAATCATGAAATAAGATGAATACCAATAAAAAAATGCTTTTTCTGAAGAGTAAACATGAAAGACGATTTACCGGGCAGTGAACCAGCGGCAATCCTTTGAATTCTTCCTCTATAAATGTTACCCTCTTATGTGAAGTTGATTCAATACTTGAGTTAATCTTCTGAAGAAGATAAGTTTGATGTTCAATAAACGGCATTAGTTATGAAATAAGATGAATACCAATAAAAAAATGCTTTTTCTGAAGAGTAAACATGAAAGACGATTTACCGGGCATTGAACCAGCGGCAGTCCTTTGAATTCTTCCTCTGTAAATGTTACCCACTGAGTTCTTCCTCTATAAATGTTACCCTCTTATGTGAAGTTGACTCAATACTTGAGTAAATCTTCTGAAAAAGATAAGTTTGATGTTCAATAGACCGCATTTGTTATGAATAGTTTTTTGTTGATTCAAACTTTTGTTACTAGAGATAACATTGATGCAAGCCTAAGTGAATTCCTATTGTGTTGATGATAATGCGTAACAAAGCGGGACTTGAACATGTAGCTACACTGTACCTTCAATCTGTTTTTGCCTTATCAAGTGTTTGGATTAGATTATCCGTTGTTTGCTTTGTTTATGAAAGGGTTGAGGTTGAGTGAACTAGATTTGTATCAATTCTGTGTAAATCTATTATGATGAGCTCCCCACTTGTAATATGGTGATACTGTTTGTAAATGTTAGCGCTCATAAGTAACCCACACCCACATCCACATCCATGTGTGACATGCTAGCTGAAAATTCACCAACAAATCACTTTACACTGTATTTCAAGATGTGTTTGTGTATATAAATCCCAAAACCTAACCCTAACCATATGAGAAAAGAGGAAGAGAGAAAAAAACAACTCTTCTAAAGATGTCAGTACTGTCATTTGCAAAAGTTTAAAACCACTTGTACATGCAGAACAATATACGCCAAACTTGAACCAATTACAGTAATCATAGCAGATTGTCAGAGATGCCTTGATTTTTCATATAAGAATGGGAGAGATCATTCTTAGAAAATCTCTGAATCTCTGAATTACCTTGTCATCACAGAGGGAAAGGGGATAGGGGGTGGGGGGTGGGGTACTTTTGTCAGATAAAGGCAACCATACATGTACATGTATGTACCTTTCTGCCCCCACCCCTTTGCATAAAACTACTCATTGTTGGTAACTTTGCCACTATGGAAACCTTGATTTGATTGGCTGTTTAGCAATGTTGCCATGGTAGTTAGTATTGATGGCAAAGTTACCATCAGTGGTATAATATATGTCCCCCGGCCCTCATCAGATAATGAACCATCTTCTTTAAATATTGAAATATCATTGAGCACAGCAGACTTTAAGGAACCAATCCTCTAATGGAGGGGCACTTGGGGGCCCCTGAAAATGTCTTTATTTTTAAATTTTATTTTATTTATTTATTTTTTTTTTTTTTTGGGGGGGGGGGGGTTCTCTTTTGGATATGCTGCATTAGATCATAGATCTACCATATAAAAAGAACCACTTTGAATAATACGTGTACATTTGTGTAATCATTCAAGAATACAATGTGATGCAGGCCCATTGACAGAAATACATTGTATCAGCAAAGTTCCCGGTAGTCTAAACATTTGCAAATGATTGTATGTGACGTTGTTATAACAATACATATGTGTAGCTGATAGTGATAAGGCGAGGTTACTGTACTGTGTAAATATTTTGCCAACCATTTCATTTAAATATTTGTGCAGTGATGTGAACTCTCAGAGTTCGCATTGTACAATCAATCCGACCATTTATTGGGATTAGGGGTCAAAGGGTTGCAAGTCATTGTTGTACTGTACATGTATGCATTGCGAAGTGGCTATCTTTGAAATATGTACATTGTCAATTGAAGTATCGATGTAATAGTTGTTATCTTGAGGTTATGTATAGTATGCACATTGAACCTCTTTCTATTTCATAAGGACGTCCTGTACATAATGAAAGGGGAAGGATGATTCACCTATATTTTAGCGTACCACCCACTCACAACTTTTCTCTTCTCCACCTCTCCCACTCTTGTCTTTCACTCTTTTGCTTTCTCTTTCTTTTTTTATGCCTCCGCCACCGAAGGTGGTGCCGGAGGCATCATGTTTTCGGGTTGTCCGTCCGTACGTCCGTCCCGTTTGACCGTTATCACAATATCTCAAGAACCATTTAAGATTTAAAGTTAAGACTCGGGAATAGTATTTATCACCATAGGAAGACGATTTGATTAGATTTTGGAGTACGTAGGTCAAAGGTCACAGGTCACAGAGGTCAACTTATGAAATTCCTTGTATTGAGTTTGTTAGCGCGATATCTCAAGAACCATTTGAGATTTAAACTTCAAACTTAAGGATAGTATGTATCACCATAGGAAGACCATCTGATTAGATTTTGGAGCACGTATGTCAAAGGTCAAGGGTCACAGAGGTCAACTTATGAAATTCCATACATTGAGATTGTTATCATGATATCTCAAGAACCACTGGAGATTTAAACTTCAAACTTAGTGATAGTGTGTATCACTATAGGAAAACAATTTGATTACATTTTGGAGCATGTAGGTCAAAGGTCAAGGGTCATAGAGGTCAACTTATGAAATTCCATACATTGAGATTGTAGAGGTGTCGTAGAGGTGTCGTGGACGAGTGGATATGTCACCGGACTGTGGATCACAAGGTTCGCGGTTCAAGTCCCACCGCGGCACTAATGTCTTTTGGCAAGACATTGATCTACATTTGCCACTCTCCACCCAGGTGTTAAATGGGTACCCGGTAGGATGCGAAAGCTAATGTGGTTAGATTAGCATGTGTGCGCTTGTAAAAAAGACGCCTGGCTGGAATGCTCCCCAGGGAGTGGAGAATGTGCATACATTGTGTGCGGGTAAGCCTGAATCCTATGACCGGGGTAATAATATATACATCTGTAAAGCGCTTTGAGAGGGCCTCCGGTCCTGAAAAGCGCTATATAAGAACTAGCTATTATTATTGTTATCATGATATCTCAAGAACCACTGGAGATGTAGAAACTTCAAACTTAAGGATAGTATGTATCACCATAGGAAGACGATATGATTAGATTTTGGAGCACGTAGGTCAAAGGTCAAGGGTCACAGAGGTCAACTTATGAAATTCCATACATTGAGATTGTTATAATATCTCAAGAACCACTGGAGATTTAAACTTCAAACTTAATGATAGTGTGTATCACCATAGGAAGACAATCTGATTAGATTTTGGAGCACGTAGATCAAAGGTCAAGGGTCACAGAGGTCAACTTATGAAATTCCATACATTGAGATCGTTATCGCGATATCTCAAGAACCACTGGAGAATTTTCACTTCAAACTTAATGATAGTATGTATCACCATATCATAATATCTCAAGAACCACTGGAGATTTAAACTTCAAACTTAATGATAGTGTGTATCACCATAGGAAGACAATCTGATTAGATTTTGGAGCACGTAGGTCAAGGGTCAAGGGTCACAGAGGTCAACTTATGAAATTCCATACATTGAGATTGTTATCATGATATCTCAAGAACCACTGGAGATTTAAACTCCAAACTTGTTTAAATTGCTCTATGGCGGAGGCATCATTTTCGACTGCGCGCAGTCAAAATTCCATCTAGTTTTCTTCTATTTTTTTTCTTTTTCTTTACCTCTATATTTTCTCTTTCTCTCACTCACTTTCTATCTCTTTATTTCTCTCCCACACACTCTCTGTTCATCTATTTCTTGCTCTTTCCCTCTCTCCCTCTCGCTCTTTACCAGTGACCCTGCCCCCTCCCTCTCTTAGTTATTCCTTTGTCTTAAATACTTTTATTAACTTTCTTTCAGGTGGAAAGGAGAGAATGTATCGACGACTGAAGTATCAAACGTCATGAGTAGATTATCATCCATAATGGAATGCAACGTGTATGGTGTAGAGGTACCAGGTAACTACAGACCACAATTTATATTTTTCTTGTCCATTTTGACACCTTCCTTTTATTTCATACGTGTACATGAAATGAAGCAGAATTTTAAACTTCAATTTAAATGCAAGATTCATGTATAGTGGAGACTGGAAAGCCTGAGAAAGAAGGAGGAGCAGGGAAAAAATACCTGGGGGCTCGGGGCAAATTCGCTCCTGAAATGCCAAAAAGAGCCCCCCCAAAAAAATAAAAAATAAAAAATTTAAAAAAATTTTCCATAGAGTTCAATGTAAAACAAATTAAAGCGTAGTATTTCATGCAAGCAAGCTTGAAAAGTAGCCCCCCAAATTTTTGGAATATTTTTTCGCTGAGGAGGAGGAGGAGGAGGAGGAAGGGGAGGGGGAGGCGAAGGCAAAGGGGGAGGAGGAGGAGGAGAGGAGGGAGAAAGGAAGGAAGGGAGGGAGGAGAGAGCGAGGAGGAGAAGGAGGAGAAGGAGGAGGAGTTGACAGCTTGAAAAGCGTCTAGAACTAGATCTTGCATGTTATAATCTTATCATTTTCCATTCTAATTTCTCAGGTTGTGAGGGAAGAGCAGGAATGGCTGCGATCGTCCTCCACGACGGTGACAGTCTAGATCCCAAGCACTTCTTTGATCACGCTATCAACCACCTCCCGGACTACGCATGCCCCAAGTTTATCCGTGTCATGACGGAGATGGACATCACCAACACCTTCAAGCACAAGAAGAAACAGCTGGTCAGCCAGGGATTCAACCTCGAGATGATCTCTGACGACCTCTACGTTGTCGACAAGGTCAAAGGTTCCTACGTTCAAATAAACCCTAGCATCATGGAAAGTATACAGAGGCAAAGCTACAAACTTTGAGTGGACATGCACCTTTTTCAGGTTGAATTTCCTTCTAATACTGACTTAATCAAACAGTTAATATTTGCAGATTTTTACTTACCAGGACTGAGAGATTGGACATTTCTAAATCCATCTTTTCATAATTAATCTTTCCTTGATGTGTTGGAGTACTGCAAATGAGACCACTTTAATTTGAAATTTGAAATTTATTTGATTTCCAGGTACATGTATAAACAAAATAGAAATGACAACACAGAGCAGACGCCTGAGGATTACCTAAAAGAATTTCCATTCTTTCATGAGGTTCTCCACATCCACTGGTGTTACATATAAATAGATTTAAGAAGTAACGGTAAAATAACATAATATAATTCAAGTTCATCCATCAAGCATAATAACTAATAGAATGATTGCATGTATGTTGAACTTTGTGGCATGAAGAAAATAACAATCATGTACGGCATGTAACGGTAAAATAAAATAACATAATTCAAGTTCATTCATCAAGCATATTAACTTATAGAATGATTGCATGTATGTTGAACTTTGTGGCATGAAGAAAATAACAATCATGTACGGCATGTAACAGTAAAATAAAATAACATAATTCAAGTTCATTCATCAAGCATAATAACTTATAGAATGATTGCATGTATGTTGAACTTTGTGGCATGAAGAAAATAACAATCTTGTACGGCATGTAACAGTAAAATAAAATAACATAATTCAAGTTCATTCATCAAGCATATTAACTAATAGAATGATTTCATGTATGTTGAACTTTGTGGCATGAAGAAAATAACAATCATGTACGGCATGTAACGGTAAAATAAAATAAAATAAAATAAAATAAAATAAAATAAAATAAAATAAAATAAAATAAAATAAAAATAAAATAAATTAATACTTTATGTATGAAATACAAACAAAAATGTTTTTACTGATCTCTCTCCTGTCCCTTTGCCCTTTCATTTTATATATATTGAACATTATCACCAACAAAAAGGGCAAAGCTACAAGAAACAAGAGGTGCTTACAAAAGTCATAACTTTTTATGATGCTTAGAATATCAATTTCTATGAAGGCATTAGTGTGTTTTGCTGCTTATCTTTCAATTTGTAAAGTTAACTTTGGTGAAGAAAGCTGCCATATTAATGTAAGTTCTTGCGCTGTATTTTTTTTCCTGATGAGGGCTGCATGCAGTGTCTTTCTTTCAGTTCCACATTGCGTCTTATGTGGTTTATGGTTCCTGAAATTCCTAGTCGGAAAAATGAAAATACATTGTGCCATAATTTCTACACTTTGCTTCACAGTTGATTAATATTCCTGGCCACTGTGCAGGTGAACAGGATTTTACCAAGCTTAATCATAGCTGAAATAAAAGTGAATATTCATTATTCAACATTTGTTACATGCATGAAACCATACTCAAAATACAGGGTATCATTTGATTTTAATATCAAGGAGATTGTGTCTTTTTCATAATCGAGATCAGGTCTTTTTAATCTTGTATAATTATTACAATTGTTTCAGTTTGCACAATTGACTGATATCTTGTCATTATGCTATGGTATTTCATTGAGGTTTGTGTTTCATGTTTTAAATGTAGAAAAGGAGAAAAAACAACAACAGTATTGATTGACATGAATGTAAATTCCAGTCATTAATGAAATGCTTAAATTAAAGCACTACCGATTATTTGATTGCAATATTTTCAGATTCAAGTCCACATGATTCGAACATTTTTTTCAAAAAAACTTGTACTTGTTTCACGAATATATGTCTTACTTCACAAGATTCCATACTCTTTTTATTTAAAAAAAAAATCAAAAAAATCAACAACAAAAAAAACAAAAAAACAAATTCATAAAAATATATGTTAAATAAGAATTGTGGTTTTTGAGGCAATGAAAGCAATTGAAGTAACTGAAATTCTAACATTGATTTACTGATAATATCTGTCATTGTCATTACTGCCAAACAAAATTTAATCTTGCTAATTCTTTTTCTTTTTCTCTTGTATACCTGTATTTTGAACTTTTGCTCCATGTCTCCTATAAGAGAAGTTTTATGAACAGGTAGGTCAAGTTGTCAATATGACATTGTAACTAGCCCTACCGCAAGATGTTCATTCAACAGTAAATTTTCAATTTGTTCCAAGATCACAAAAGCCTTCAAAATGCTGGCAATGCAAACAAGAAAAATTGAATAAATAACTACAAAATGAATTATATAATAATAACAACAATATAATAAGTAAAATAACAGTGATAATGACACAGCATTTGTAATGCACACATATTGATCCTAGGAGATGCTTGAGAGAGAGAGTCAGAGAGAGAGAGAGAGAGGGGGGGGGTCAGAGAGAGAGAGAGAGAGAGAGAGGGGGAGTCAGAGAGAGACAGAGAGAGAGACAGAGACAGACAGACAGACAGAGAGAGAGAGAGAGAGAGAGAGAGAGACGGACAGACAGACGGAGAGAGATAGTGTGTGTCAGAGAAGCATGTATTCTCTGTTAGAATATAGAAATGTATGCCTTTCTGGCTTTCAACAAGCAATATGTCAAGATATCAGAGATGCACAATCATGTCATCTACACAAAAATTATAACTGTTATTCACATATTTGTTATAAATCTCAAATAGGGATGGAAAGTTTTTGTAGTTGATTAAGTTTTAATATTCTTGTTACAACCCACCAATGACTGGTATGAAAATGCATAACTATGATGGTGTCAACAGCTCAGGGAGACAATGTTAACCATACCAATCTCAATAATCTATATTATGTACTCATGTTTTGTAAAGCGTTCGGTGGCCTGAAGTACATGTATATCTATTTGTGTTTTATAAAAGTATTATATATTTACTTAAGCATGTATATATTTATATCGTTGTGATGAATCAAATTTTGCTCACTCCAAAGCATCGTTGTATGTTCAGGTTGATGTTGTACTCGTGGATTTCACAAACGTTTGATATTATTTTCTAAATGATACTATAAAGCTATATTTTTCACAGGAGCATGCATTATACTGGTATGATTTAATTTTCAGGTATGGTGCGATTGTGTACGATTTTAAAACATGTATATTTTCATGAATATTGTTTTTATAATTCTTTCCAAAGGTTACAATGTTCTCTGCCTTATGAATGAAATTCACGGGAAAATCCACCACAGATGTTCTTTTATGGTTAGTGGATTAGATTAGTTGCATATTTTTGACTCAATATGAAGCAGAATTATATCTTTGTTTTAAACAAAAAAATATGGTATACTATGATTACCTACACACTGCCAAAGAATGGTTTCTGATATTCAGTGTTAAATAATTTTTAAAAATTATGTATCTTTTCTAAGGCCAGAGAGCAATTTATTGTAAAATGTTTGAGTTAAAATTGTTGAGAAGTATGAGTATTTGCACAGCTTCCCCAACTGGAAGACATACTTAAATTATGTAAGGTTAACAAATGAAGCACAAAAATTAAGAGTCTTTTCATACATGTTAAGGTTCCATTGTAAAACTTGAAAAATTAGGAAGGGGGGGGGGGGGGGGGGGGGGAGGGGGTACTACACTTATCAAGAAAACGTGTCACAATGCCAGCCATTGGAAGCAATTCCCATTGCGGACAGCAAGTTTTAATCAATGTGTGGCATGTTTGTGCTAGTTTCAATGAAGTTGTTAAAAAAGTTTATGAGTTCATCAAGTATCATTAAAGATAAACTTGAGTTCTGGTAATGCGATTGCATTGTGAAAGAAAAGGTGTGGAATGGATCAGAAAAGTTGATCATACAAGTAATGGTGTGTAATGCAAGGTTCTGGAGTCATCAAAATCATCATAAATTTGGCAGAGTCTTGGTAAAATAACAATCGCTTACACAGAAAGATGTATATGGGACAACACACATGGTGTCGGGGCTAGTACTACCCTGATTTCCTTATCTTTCTATGCTCATTTCTCAGCCAGTATACATTTTCTTCCAACATTGTTTGGCACATGACATTTATTTGTAATCTTGAACATTCAGTGTAAGTTTCGTTAGATTCTGTGAGAAGTCATTTTCTTTTTTACCAGAACTCAAGTTTATCTTTAAGGGGAAATAAACTATAAATTGCAGGCACTGAAACAGAAAAAATTACTGAAACAAATTGCTGAAAGTCGGATATCATTTGTAGCCTATTGCTTTTACCTACAGTTTTTCTATAAATTCCAAGTTAATCTAGAAGTATGTACGATGGATAAGCAAAAACTAAGTAGCATTTAGGGTAGGAAAGGAAAACACTGCCTGAGTATTCACAATTTGTAGGCCTACGCAAAATTCTCACATCTCATGAGCTTTATTTTGGGGTGCAGTGGTGATTTATATATCAATGAATATCTGATTTGGCGAATATGAAATTTGGAAATATGATATTTTATGAGTTATGGGATATTTGATGAGTTGTGAGATATTTGTGGGGGTTGTGGGATATTTTATGTTTTTGAAGATCAAATGTGTACCGGTAAACCATATTCATATACACTTGCTCGTAAAGCTATAATTGTTGTTTTTAACCTCTTTATGAATTGATTGTGACAATTTGATTTATTCTGGATAAATAAAGTTTATATCTCCTCACATGGCAGAACTTTATATGTCAAGGAAAAAAGATCACATTTATTTCATGAAAAGAGGAAATACAAATTTATTCTAACTTTATGCGCAACAGTTTTAATTCAGTGATAGAGATGTCCAAACCACCTGTCTGAATAGTATTGCGTTTTGAATAATGATGATATTTAGTCTTGCTGCATTTCGTAGTTAAGAAACAAAACTTGTACTCGTCTGGTTTTCCTTGTAATTTTGATTGTAATTCTGCATCTCACATTTTTTGAGTGAAGTTGTATTTTGTATGGGTATTAATAAAATGGAGTATCATATTTTGATAGCAACTCTCAGAGAGTTGGACCGTTGTTTTGTTTAGAACCTATGTGATGGGGTGATGTGAGTGAATGTCTGGATTTATAAGAGGGTATTTGTCAGCGAGTGTCATAATGGCTGAAAAGATGTAGGGTGTTGGGTGTTATTCAAACACAGAAGATTATGTGATCGCGATTCAAATCTCACTTTTTTAGCCACTGTTAATAGTTGAAAGGACCAGACTTCACAGGAGCAAAGGTAGTTAGAGCGAGAGGAAGAAGACAGAGATTGAATGAGGGAGAATGAGCGAGAAAGAAAGAAACAATGGGAGAGAGAAGGAGTAGGTGAGAAATCAATATTAAGTTGCAAAGCTTTGGGGCAGCTTTCTAACTGAATAGGAGTTTAGAAGGGGATAGCACAAGTGCCTCCCCCCCCCCCTCTTCCCCTCCCTACCGATTCACTACTGAATTCAATCATTTATTGCTTTATAGATGATGAATCAACAGTCATTGATAATCACAGACCACAGTCGGATTTCATTGCTTAGTAACTATTTTTGATTTTATTCTGCTATTTATTTTTAATAGATTAATTTGAAGAAGACGAGGAATAACAGATTAGTTCCTCTCATTGCAATTCAACCTGCGCACAAGTGCCATTTTGAAGGACGCCAGCTACAGAGCAAGGGCAGATAGGCCAC